TTGAGGTCCCCCACTACAATTGTATTAGTGCTTATTTGGTTTTTCATGTCCATTAATATTTGTTTTGTATAGTTGGGGGCATTCGTATTTGGTGCATATATATTCAGGATTGTCATCTCTTCCTCTTGGATTGTTCCCTTCACAAGGATGTGGTGACCATCTTTGTCTCTTTTAATTAGTTTTGGTTTGAAATCTACTTTGTCTGCAAATAAGATTGCTACACCTGCTTTTTTCTGGGTTCCTATCACATGGAGAACTATTTTCCACCGTTTTATTTTCAGTCTGTGGATTTCCTTTTGAGTTAGGTGTGTTTCTTGGATATAGCATATTGCTGGGTTTTGCTTCTTAATCCATTCTGTCAGTCTATTTCTTTTGATTTGTGAATTGAGGCCATTAACATTGATAGTTAAAATTGAGAGATATTGACTCATCCTTGTCATGATGTTTGTTGGCTCTTTTATTTCTTATTTTCCTCCCTTTTGCTTAAGTGTCTTACCTTGCATGGTGCCTTCTCTCTGTCGGGCCTCATGGAATTGTGACCTTCATTGTCTTTTTCTAGGATATTGCTTAAAATTGTTTGGAGTGCTGGTTTGGTGTTCATGAAATTTCTCAGGTGTTCTTTGTAATGAAAGTATTTAATTTCCCCATTGATTTTGAAACATAATTTTGCTGGATACAACAGCCTAGGTTGGAAGTTATTTTCTTTTAGGGCTTAAAATAGTTCACCCCAGGCTCTCCTTGATTTGAGGGTTTGTGTTGAGAAATCTTCCATGATTCTGATGGGCTTTCCTTTGTAGGTGATTCGTTTCTTTTCTCTAACTGCCTGTAGAATTTTTTTCTTCTGTTGGGTTTCTGGGATCTTGACTATTATATGTCTAGGTGTAGATTTTTCTTTTTGGTCATGGCTAGTTGGAGTTCTGTATGACTCACTTATTTGTATGTCCAGTTCTCCTCCTCTGGGAAGTTTTCTACTATTACTTCTGTGAACAGATTTTTATGTCAATTGTACTTTCTCCTGTTTTTTCGTGGACTCCTATGAGTCTTATGTCATTCTTCTTTGCATCATCATGTAGCAGCTGTTGGATTGATTTCTCATGGTCCCTTACTATCTTTAAGAAATCTCTGTTTTCATGTTCCTTCACCCAATCCTGTCTTCTATGTCTGATATTCTGTCTTCAGATGCTCTTAGTCTGCTCTGCATGCTTTCAGTGCAGTTTTTAATCTCTTGAATATCTGTTTGAATTTGTTTCATGGATTCCATTTCTTTGTTATGTTGGGCGATCATGTTTTCCATTTCTTTCTTATGCTGGACATTCATGGCTTCCAGCGTGTGTGTGATCTCATCCATTTTTTTATCTGTTTGTGCTCTAGAGCCTCTAATCATGTCTTTCATTTTGCTCACCAATTCTATAGTTATCTGGGAGATTATTTCTGTTTTGAATTTTTCTAGAGCCTCATGCATCTGCTTTGTTACTTCCTTTGCTATCAGTTCAGGGTGTCCAAGTGGTTGCTTATCAGAATTTTCCCCCAGAATTTCCTTTTTGTGGCATGGAAGCCTGGGTTTGTGCCTTGCTTAAGTGTCTTCTCATTTTTGTTTTTGGTACTGTCCTTGGTTTAATTCCTGGATTGATATTTCAAAATTGCTTAATGTAACTATCTTTGTTGCTTGTGTTTAAAACCCTTGTGGAATTATTGCTTTTCAGAGGTGTCTTCCAGATATAGCTTGTGTTTGGGTTTTGAGACTCTAATGACTCTCAGGCTATTTTATTTTCTTTATACCAGGAAGGAAAAGTGATTAGATCAATCACAACATGTTAGGCCAAATAGTAACAATCAGCAGTACCATAGCATCAAGCTTAGAAAATGACAATTTGTGGTAGTTATTAATCTATCACATTTAACTATGTGAGTTAAATTAAAAGCGAGGACCAACCCAACATAAGTTTATAACGAGTAAACTCTTCAATATAACATCTTTCCCCTTCGGGGTAGGGAATTAACAGGAGTTGGGGAGGGAGGGACAGGTAGAAAGATCAGGTAAGATTAGGGGTGAGGCCAGAAGACACAGAAAGATCACACAAACTCTAAGAAGTTGTTAAAGGCAAGAGGAAAAGGCAGAATGAAAGAACAAAGATGTAAATAGAATCACCTAACAGCAACAGGGAGGCTAGATACCAAATTTACTTTCCTTTAAACCTAATGATGAGAAGGAAAAAGAGGGGAAAAAAAGAACAATAAGGGAGAAATCCGAATTCAGTGCAGAAAGGAACAAATGGGGAGATGAGGAGCAATGTGGGACAGTGAGAGAATGAGAGAGAAAGAGAGAGAAAGAAAAGATAAAAGAAAGAAAAGAAAGAAAAGGAAAAGTTTGAAGAGTAGAAAAAAGTAAAAGTTAAGAATTAAAAATAAGAGAAAAAATTTTTTTTTCTTTTTTGCAAATAGCAAAAAATAAAAATTATGGGCCTCCTTCAGGGTATGTCTCTGCTGTCACAGTAGGCAATGTAGGAATCCATGTGCATATATGAGTCAATGAGTCTCAGCAAGCCAGCAGCAGACCAAGTACAATGATCTGATGTGCCTTTATTGTAGAGATTCTCTTTACTTTTCCGCTGAGCTTCAGTTTTCATCAAGGAGCCTGAGAAGCCCTCTTTCTGTTACTAACTTATGCTCTTATCTGTGGCGCTCAGGACAAGGGTCTTTATAATCTTCTGTGCCTATCTAGTGTGGGACCAGGTAGCAGAAGAGCCAGAAGGCCAGAGACACGTGGTGGTGGGGGGGACGGACACACACCAGCCTTGGAGGCACCCCTGTGGCTAAGCAGACCTCACCGTGGCGTGGGTGGGGCCCAGGACAGCTGCGGAGCTTCAAGCTGCTTGTCTCACCTGGCTGGTCGCGGCTAGGAGAGCCAGTATTATATATTTAAATATTAAAAAATAATTTAAGGGGCCAGGTATTTAGCTCAGTGGTTCCACCACCTGCCTCGAAAGCGCAAGGTCCCGAGTTCGAGCTCCGGTACCAAAAAGAATAATAATAGTTTAAGTAAATATTACTAGCTACTTATTGATTTCTAAAGATTTAACTTTAATGTTGGAATTTATAAATGAATATGGGTTGTACTTTTCTTGGTAAATGATGTTTTTATTTATCCCGAAGTCCAGAAAATGAGGATTTCCTTGCCACAAGACCTGGTGTAACTTCGGGTGAAGATTGGAGAAGCATGAATGAAAGACAGTCAGACTTCATTATTGAAAAACAAGTAGCACAACGTACCTGGGGAGAAAATGGAAAAGAAATTTCAACTTTTCTTAAAGACGTAAACCAGCCAGCTCATAGTATTCTATCAGAGAATTGTGACTCTTTTGTTGGTCAGAACATGATCAATTTATTAAGCATAGATCAACAAGTGATACAGAAAACTTTTGACAAGAGTAGTTATGATAGTTTGGGAAATGCTTGTTTAGTCACTAATTCTGATGAAAACCATTCCACTGGTGTATGCATTGGGAGCATTTTTACAGTTTCAGAGTCAACTTGTAGTAATTCTGCTTTTAATAAAACAAGTTGTCCAGAAAAATGTCAGCCAGTCAAGCACAATCAGAAAGAGCACAACAGTAATGAAATACGTGATCTTAGCACTTTTGAGGATTGTTACCCAGCCAGTTATGAAAATCGAGGTTGGTATTATACTTGGAAAATGTAATGATCTAGTTTTTGTTTTTAACTTTATATATCATATACATATGTATATATTCACACACACATACATTTGGCCCTCTACATCCATAGGTTCCTCATCAGCAGATCAAACCAACCATGTATTGAAATTATTTTAAAACGTTGAGTATTGAATATGTGTGGTCTTTTTTTTCTTGCTATTATTCCTTAACCAATACAGAGTAATAGCTACTTAGATAGTAATCTAGAGAGTATGTAAACCAAATGGGAGGATATGAGTATGTCATATGGCAGATACTAAACCATTTTATCCAAGAGATTTGAGCATACATGGATTTTGGTAGCTGTAGAAGTGGTTGAAGCAAGCCCTGGTTCCCCATAGTTACCAAGGGATGACAGTGTAGTATGTATGTTTGGAGAATGTGAAACCAAAAATAGAATGCCTATTGTATGACACTGTGCACCAGTGATTTCCCTTTGTATGCGTCATGGTAAGGTGCTTTGGTTAAATGAAAATATACTGAGCTAAATTTTTTACTCAATGCATAGTTTTATTTTTGCAGGAAAACATGAAAATGGTTTCCAAGAGAAAACATCACAGAAAAATATCCAGGAAGATCCAGTGAACTCTATGTAAGTTTTTAGTACATCCAGGGAATCATATTAGGATGTAGCATGTTGAAGAGTGAACTACTGCAAAGTGACATAGGCCTGTCACTGAGTGTGAGCCACCAGGTCACAAAGAAGCCTTACTGTATTCACAATCTCGGTAATATCATTCTCATTAAGAATACGGTGCTCACGTTTGCCAGCCCCTAAATACCTTCTTATCTGAATATTACCCTTGAGAAACTGTCTTATGTGTTTGTATATCCATCAGAATGTCAATTTACTTATCTCACTAAGAAATAGAAGGCTCATATGTGTAGGACTGTTTCCTGGCATAAAGAGCATATCTTCTTACTTTAGGATCTCCTGGGAAGGCTATGTTGTTGGCAGAAAATCAGAGTAATAGAATTCGTGTCAGAGGCATACCTATGCATATCAGCAGTTTATGGGAAAGTGTGTGTTGTAGAGCTGTCTCCTTATTACCAACATGTACCTTTCAGAGACTGTCTGCATCCTCCATGTTCAAGATTACTGTCTCTTCCACCCCATCATTATGGCATTTTTTATATGAAAACAATTATGCTCCATCAGATCTTGGTGCAGCTTCTTTCTGCTGTTGTACGAAATGTATTTAATGAGAAATTTAATCTAATCTATTGTTGCTTGATATCTAACTTAATCATTAGTTTTTGGGGTTGCCTTACTGACCCTTTTACATAATGACCTGAAATTACAGTGGTACCTTGGTTCATGAACTTAATTCTTTCCAGGATTCTGGTTGCAAGCCGAATTGGATGAGAACCAGATCAAATTCAGTGGTTAGGATCGATGTTGACCTTGTGTGGAAATTTGATTTGGTTCTCGTCCAATTCGGTTTGTGACCAGAATTGTGGAAAGAAGTAAGTTCATGAACTGAGGTACCACTGCATAGGTAAAGAAACCTTTATTTCAGCTAGTAGTTTCTGAGTAGTTCTCTGTTGGTAAGAATTGCAATTAGTCTTTTTTTTTTTAAACAGTCTTTATTGTAACAGGGCCTGTGCTACAGCACAGGGAGAGCAGTACATAGGAGGGAGCCCTCCTAGAGTAAAATCCCATTGGTCATACCTTTATAACTGGAAATAATTAACTAGAACATACTTTTATCTTGGATGTAGTTTTCTAGGGAAATCTTTGAAATATGTATATGCCATTTTTTTGTATATGCCATTTTTATGAGAGTAGCATATACAATTAAAATGTAGACTCTCAATTCTTTCCATAAAATTAACATACTAAGTTCTTTGTTTTCCAAATATGCAGAAATTTAAGAGTGAAAAACTATATGTTAGGCCTTGAATTTTAAAATATACTTTATGCAAGTGATTTACAACATGGTCCCTAAACCTGGCTGCAGATCTACGTTTACTTGAGAGGGGTGATTTTAAACCTATACAATGCAAAGTTTTACTCATGTATAATAAATAAGCTCCTTGGCATAGAGCTTATACATTTTTATTTTTTAAAAAGCTTCCAATATACTTTTCTGAAGTCAACAATTTGAAATCATAGTTTAAATCATAGTTTCAAAGAGAATAAAATAAACACTAATACTGTCTTATTTATAACCTGTAGGTGTAATAGCCATTTGGCAGAATTGCATCCTAACCAGTCATGGGACATTGGACTTGATGAGGTAAAGCACATTGCCATGTTATCTTTCTGTGAAATTATGTTTTATCATATTTTAATATTTACAGTCTACGGTACTTAAGGTTAGCTTTTATTAAAATTTTTTTCTAGGTACACTTTTCTCATATTTTATTACACTTGGAAAATCATGGCTTAGACTTAGAAGTAAAAACACCTTTTAAGACACTTCAAAGAACTTAAGAGTATGGCCTCAATATGCATCCATTTAGCTATAAATGTCTCTAGTTTCTCATTCTTTATGGCTGAGTAGTACTCCATTTTATAAAAA